TCCCACCGGACCCCTCCGCCCCTGGCGGGGCTACAACAGGCGCAAGATCAAAATGAAAGCGAGCCTGCCCTCGCTCCCGGCCAGCGTGGGAGGACGACATGACGGTCATTCCCCACAGGGAGCCTCCTCCCACCCCAAAAATACCCCTTTCCCCCCAAGGAGCCATCGTGCCCTCGGCAGCCGCTGCCCCCTGAGCCCCCTGCCGCGCTGGGGGCTCCTCTCTTCTGCTGCCCGCGCGGGCAGCGCCCCGGGTCAGCCGCCGAGCTGACCTCTGCCTGCACAGTAGTCGTCCCCAGGGACGGGGAGGTGCCACGCGCCAGCTCCCTAACCTCCCTAACCTCCATAACTCTTCCTTGCGCCCTCCTCTTCCTCTCCCCTGAACCGGGCCCCCTCCTCCTCCTCCTCCTCCCCCCGGCCCCCCACGGCTCGACCCGGCCAAGCCCCAGTTTGCAGGAATCTGTCCCAGATGGGTCAATAAAACCCTGCGGTGGAGGACAGGGACAGCCCCTCGGCAGGCACGGAGCACCCGGGGCTTCAGTGTGGAGATGGGCACGGGGACTCGGACGGCGCCACCGCCCGGCAAGGACCGCGTCCTCGAGCACAGAGAGAGCCGGGCCAGGGAGGCCGGGGGGCTGACGCCAGGCTGGGCCGTTCACCAGCACCAGCACATCTGGAGCTGAACCCAAACCGCAGCCGCAGGGAGACCTGGAGAGCCCCGGAGGTGCTGGGGATGGCCAGACCACCAGCCCTGAGCTGCCTGGGGGGGACCCGAGCCTGCTCGGAGGCAGGGAGAAAGAAATCAGAGTCACCCGCCTCCCCCAAACCGAGCCCACGCGGCCGCAGCTCGGCCCCAGAAGGTGCTGCAGGGGCCCAACTCCGCCGATGTGCACAGGAGGCTGCGCACTCCCTGCAAGCTTGTGGGAGAGCAGAGGTGCTCCCAGCACCGAGAGGCTCGTTAGCAAAAAAAGAGGAACCCCGAAATAGCCCCCTCCTCGAGCCGCGTTTCCCCACTGCGGTGGGAAGGCCCAGCACCGACACACCACGTTTCTGGCACCGTGTCCCCGCCGGCTCTCCCGCGCGGAGGGATCCGGCCGTGGTGCACCAGCACCCTGGCGCTGCCGGGGTTTCCCCTAACACAACCCTACGCCGGTGAAGGGGTGTCAGCAGTGGGAGCAGGGGCAGGGAAGGGGTAAAGCATCCCCTGCCAAGCAGCGCCAGGGCCACGGCGGCTG